AATTTTTTTGGTAAATTAAAAAAAAATTTTTTTTTAATATTTTTATCAAAAACTACGTGTAAAAACAAAAATTTTCATATATCGAACGTCCAATTTGATCAATTTTTGTCCGAGTTATAAGCATTTAAAAAAAAATTTATGTAAAAAACGTGATTTTTCAAAAACCCAGATCTCTTAAATTACTTCATGAAAAAATTTGAAAAAAATCATGGAAGTTCCTTTCAACCAGCACTAAAAGAAAAAAAATATTTGAAAAAAATCGGAGATGCAAAAGTCAAAAGGTGTCCGACTTGGCGTGGAATGCCCCATATATATATATATATATATATATAGATATCGATGTGTGTAGGTGAGAATATGGAGGGTGCTTTTCACAACAACACAAGTACAGAATCACGTCAATCAAAGATGAACAATGTGAGTTGTGTCAATTGAATATATATGATGTCATAAAAATTTCCAACAAAGAGGCATTTTCCGCATCAAATTGTCTGTCAATATTCAAATGTCAAAATAAATTTTATGACACTCAATAGGGGTGACGGGGGGGGGGGGGGTTCGAAAATTTTGCTCCTGTTTCAAATTGCGACCACAATTTTGATTTGTAATTAAATGAATAATTACTTAGGTGTAAATAATTATACTCTTCACACGTAATCATAAGTACTATAAATAATAATTTCCATAGATTTTTCTTCGTTCTCTATTTTATATATGATTTTCTTCGTAAGCAGTTTTTGCTCTCATCTACTAAAATCTACTATTTACTACTTTTTTACGTTATGCTACAATTTGGGTACTTTTTTTAGATTTCAGCGACCAAAATAAGCTACAATTTCTGTTTTTTTTTTTTGAGAATTTCCATTACTTTAAATTCGCTAATACTAGAAATAAAAAAACTATTTTCCAAAATTATAATTAAATTCTTTAAAACGATTCAATTATTTTCAAAAAATATGAGAAAGTCAATTATTTTCAATATCTAGTGTTTTCATAAAATTTCGCAAAAGAATTCAATTATTTTTTTAAAAAATTGCTAAAATTCATCCAAAATTCAATTATTTTCATAAATAATAAAATTTCCACAGGAATTCAATTAATTTGGAATAGCATTTTCAAAAAATTTTCGAAAAAATCAATTATTAACAAAATTTTTATACAGTTCTTCACAATAATTCAATTACTTTCACTAACAATAACATTTTTCATGGAAATTCAATTTTTTAAAAAAATTTTTTCATAAAATTCTAAGCAAGAATTCAATTATTTACAAAAATATTAGAATTTTTCACAGGAATTGAATTATTTTCAAGTATTTTAATAAAATTTGTTTTAAAGAAATCAATTATTTTAAATATAATTTATATTAATTTTTTTTAAATAATTTAATTATTCTTTTAGATTTTAATAAAATTCTTTTTAAGAATTCAATTATTTCCATAAATAATTTTTCTAAAGAATTCAATTATTTTGAGTTATTTAATAAAATACTTTGCAAAATTCAATTATTTCCATAAATAACAAAATTCATTACAAGAATTCAATTATTTTTAAAAGTAATAAATTTCTTCTTGGAAATTTAATTATTTAAAAAAATTCTAATAAAATCGTTCGCAAGAATTTAATTATTTTCATAAATAATAAAATGCTTTTTAGGAATTCATTTATTTAACAAAACAAATTTTTTCACAAAAATTCAATTCTTTTTAAACATTTTAATAAAATAATATTATTTTAATAAAATGTTTCGCAATAATTCAATTATTTTTATAAATAATAAAATTCTTCTTAGGAATTCAATTATTTTTGATACAATTTTACAGGAATAGTTCGAGAAATGTAATAATTCTTGCACAAGTGATACAAGTGTTTCATTTACTACTCTTCCGATAATCGATTAAAAAACTTTAACAAATGTAATTATTCTTAAAATATTTAATTTCAATTCCTCGAAAATCAATTATTTAAAAAACACTTTTTTTGATTCTTTGGAAGAATTCAGTTATTTTCAAAAATGTTAGAATTTTCCCAACAATTCAATTATTATCAAATATTTAAAAAAATTGTTCAAAAGAAATCAATTATTTTAAATATAATTTATATTAATTTTTTTTTAATAATTCAATTATTCATTTAGATTTTAATAAAATTCTTCCCAAGAATCCAATTATTTATATAAATAATTCTTCGATAGAATTTAATTATGTCGATAAATAACAAAATTATTCCCGAAAATTCAATTATTTTGAGGCATTTTAATAAAATCCTTTGCAAAATTCTATTATTTTCATAAATAACAATATTCATCACAAGAATTTAATTATTTTTAAAAGTAATAAATTTCTTCTTGGAAATTCAATTATTTAAAAAATTGTAATAAAATCGTTTCTCAAGAATTCAATTAAAATTATAAATAATAAAATGCTTTTTAGGACTTCAATTATTTTCAAAAAAATTTAATAAAATACCACACAGACATTCAATTACTGCCAAAAATTTTAATTGAATTCTTTGTAAAATTTAATTATTTTTAATAAATTTTTGTAATTCAATGATTTTCAATATCTAGGTACTATTTTCATAAAATTTCCAAACAAAATTCAATTATTTAAAAAAATTTTTGTAAAAATCTTCGTAAGAATTCAATTTTTTTCATAAATAATAAAAATTTCTCATGAATTCAATAATTTAGAATGGTATTTGCATAAAATTAGTCGAAAAAATCAATCATTTAAAAATGTTTATAAAATTCTTCGCAAGAATTAAATTATTTTTATAAATATTTAAATTCTTTCATGAATAATAAAATTCGTTGCAGGAATTCAATTTATTAGCAGGATAAGAAAGAAGTGGATATTTTTGATGAAAATTAGGAAAAAGTCAGGAAAATAAAAAATATAGAATGGAATTTTTGTCAGTATTGTGAAGTTTCTAAAACGAGTTTTTTTGGTCGTCAAGTTTAATTTTTCGATAGCTACTTTTTTTAATTTGAATGCTACTTTTTTAAAATTAATTATCAAATGCGAAGTCTGCGTAAAAGTTAAAATATATATTTCTTTCCAAAAAAGTTAAAATTAAAATAGATATGAATTTTCCGCAATCGGGTAAATTTTATTGATATTTATATATTAACAGGTCGCATCCGAAATGCGGTACATTTGATGCGTTCACTATACTTGTTTCTTGGGGATATAATTTTATTTAAATAGACAAGTTTATGCCTTCTCCAAGTAGTTTAGTATGTAAAGTACATTGAATTGAAGCAAACCGAGGCATATATACAATTCTGTAAGTTTGGTTGCACTCGGTACGATATTATAGACGCATATATATGTACACCTATATGCGATCAAGAGAAATGGTGTTCTGGGATTCGATTCGCTGAAGCTTAACGTACGTGAGTTATTGACGAAATGGGCATTTTGAGATTATAATAGTTGAATATGGCTAAATGGAATGTTCAAAAAAAAATATTTTGAAAAAAAATCCAGTTTTGTTAAGCTCAACATAGAGCAAAATGGCAAAATTGGCTAAAAAATTGTTATTGAAATTGCAAAAAGTGGAGAATTATTTAGTGTAAATCTTTTTAGTAATTAAATGTAATATTTAATATTTAATATTTAATATTTAATATTTAATATTTAATATTTAATTTTCAATTTTCAATTTTCAATTTTCAATTTTCTTTAATATTAAAGAAAAAGTGTTAGAAAAAAGAAAATTTCCCTAAAAATAAGATTGGTTATTCTTGATGTTTTATATATAGAAATTTTTTTCCGATGATTTTTAATATAATTTCTATGAGCGTTTGCTTCGGTTCAATGATTATTTCCTCTTTGTCCAAAAATTTCGTCCCATATTCGAATCTGGGTCAGGTCGCCTGCATTGCAATGTTCCCGAGGGAACCGCGATATCTGCAGAGTCAGTTGTTACGCTCGTGTAACACACTCGGAATATCCATGCAGATAAAAGTAGTAGAAAAGTTTGTGTCAGCTATATATAATCAGGAATGAGTCCAACATTCATTTTTTACACATAATTTACCGTGTAACTTACTTTTCTCGAAAGCACACAATGTTATTGTAACTTTAATTGGTTAATAATTATTTCATTAACTAGATATCGTAACTATTTACTATTAGGGATTAATTAAGATATAAACAAATTACCTATTAATTATAAATAATAATAAAAAATAAATAAATAATAATAAATAATAATAATAATAATAATAATAATAATAATAATAATAAATTATTAACAATCAATTAACGAATTAATAAATTTTCAACAACCAATTAACGATTTAATCAATTATCAACAATTAATTAATTAATAAATTATATCAACTAATTACTGCATAGTAATTAATAATTAATAAAATATCAAGAATTAATTAACGAATAAATAAATTACTAACTAGTTAATTAATTAAATAATAAATAAAAAAACTGTCTACTTCTATCTTGACTAATAATTTTATGAATTACTTATTGTAATTATTTTCTATTACTTATTGATTTAATTCAGAAATAAATAAATTATCAACTAATAACTGTATTTTTTAATTAATTCAGTAAATAATATGACAAACTTTCATTACTGTTGGTAATAATTAATTTAGTAATTACTTTCTGTAATTATTTATTTTGTATTGAATTAATTAATGAATTAATAAATTATCAACCGCAACTGCTTAATGAATTAATAAATTATCAACTAACTGATTAATTAATTAATTAATTAAATAATAATAATAATAATAATAATAATAATAATAATAATAATAATAAAAGTTATTAATTATTTTATTAATTACTGCGCTTCTAATTATTTTTTCATATTTTTTGTAATTGTTTATAAACTATTAAATAACTAATTATTTTTGGTTAATTAATTCAGTAAAAAGAGTAGAAATCTTTCGTTATTATCGTTTGATAATAATTACAGATGGTAAATTAGCTGAATCAATATTTTTTGTTTTAAATAAAAACCCTTACCTGTGTGTTACAAAGTTTATATTTAACGCTCCACGATTTTCCTTTACAAGGCTTTTTCCGACAACGCCTCTGTTGCCTGGATATACCGCCATCGCAGCGTCTGTAAAAAAAACAATGAAACAGAATTTAAAAATTCTTCATTCAACAAGTAATTTTTTTAAGTTTTTGTTTTCTAAATATTAATTAATAATTCTAAAATATTACAAAAATAGTTATTTGTTTAAAATACTCTCTTAATTTTGAATTAGTAAAAATATTTACTAATTTGAATCAGTGACTGTCTTTTTGCTTTTGAATTAGTAAATTTCACTAACAAATAGTAATTTTTTACTACTTTACTAGTAAAATTTACTAATTCAAAAACAAAAAATCAGTCACTAATTGAAATTAGTAAAAAATTTTACTCATTCAAATTTAGAGAATAATAGCTTTTTGCTTGAAATAATAGCTCTTTGTTAAAAATAATAAATTTTTTTTTTAAATAATAGCTTTTGATTTAAAAAAAATTAATTTCTGGTTAAAATAATATCTTTTTGTTTAAAAACTAGGTTTTTCACAATGTTTTCTGTTAGAGAAAAATTGTGTTCTGTTTAAAAAAAATAATTTTTTGTTTAAACTAACAGCTTTCTGTTTAATGAAATAGTTTTTTGTTTGAAATAATACCTTTTTGTTTAAAATAATAGCTTTATGTTTAAAAAAATAAATTTTTGTTTTAAACAATATCTTTTTGTTTAAAAAAATAAATTGTTGTTTAAAATAATAGCGTTTCGTTTAAAAAAAAAAAATTTTTGGTTAAAATAATATCGTTTTGTTCAAAAACTAGTTCTTTTATACTGTTTTCTGTTAGAAAAAATAGTGATCCGTTTGAAAAAATTATTTTTTGTTTAAAATAATAGCTTTCGGTTTAAAAAAATAGATTTTTGTTTAAAATAATAGATATTTGTTTAAAGAAATAAATTTTTGTTTAAAATAATAGCTTTTTGTTCAAAAATGAGGTTTTTTAAAATGTTTTCTGTTAGAAAAAAAAAATGTTATGTTTAAAAAAATTATTTTTTCTTTAAAATAATAGCTTTTTATTTAAAAAACAATCTGTTGTTTAAAATAATAGCTTCTTGTTCAAAAAATATATTTTTTTTAATGTTTTCTGTTTTAAAAAAATAGTATTCTGTTTTAAAAAAATTGATTTTTGTTAAAAATTTTTTTTTTTTGTTTAAAGAAATATTGTTTTTGAATGACAGAAAAAATATTTATTAATTTTTCCTTTTTGAAATTGAACGAGAGCTGAAAAAATTATTCAGGGTAAAGAAGAGCAACACATTTTAACAATTTTTTTGAAAAAGGAAATTTTTTTCTATTTTGAACAATTTTTTATAAAAAAAAAAGATTGTTTCTAGAATATTTTAAGATAAAATGAAAATAGAAAAAATATTTTCAAGTTTTCTTGTATATATCGGAAAAGTTGAAAAGAAAATAAAAGAATATTTCATAATAGACGGTGTATGTCTTCCCCTTTTTTCAGCTCTCTCTTTTTCTATGCGAGTATATCGAAAACGAGGTAAGAAAATAAAGCGAGAAGTATAGATAAGTGTATAAGACACTTTAGATCCGTAAAATAGGCGTTGCCAGCCTAGTAAAGTTTCAACTTATGGAACTCATAAATTATTATCCCTTATTGCAGTCTGCTGCATTTCCTTGGAAAACGACTACAACAATTCCATATGGCGAAAGTTGCCACAGAAATAAGCCAGTTTGACTTGTTGAGAAAAGTAGTTTTAGAAAATTAAAGTCCCCCTCGGAAATGTTATCAATTAAAAATTTATAACTAAGGAAAATTACATTAATTAATTTCTATTTTGAAAAATCGTAAATTTTCCCCCAAAAAAAAAGAATTAATTACAGCTAAATATAAATTTATCAACTTTTTCTTTTTTTTTTTGTTATTATAACGAGAGTAACAAGAGTCGAGTGCTGTTAAAATAATTAACAGCGTTTTTCATTAAATCTATTATATTTCATCTGAATATTTCGTTCTCTCGATTGTTTTATAATTAAAAACATTTTATTTAAAAAAACATTACAATCATCAAGTACACTTTTCTCTCTCTCATTCTCTCTTTCTCTTTCACCCTTTCTCTCTATCCTTTGTGTTCGGAATTTAAACTTTAATCCTTTTGAATTCAACTTATTCACTGAATTGCGTTTTATTTACAAACAACCGAATAATTTTTTTAAATACTTGCAAAAGAGAATTTATTTAGTTTATATGAAAACTGTTGATATATCAAAATTTAATAGAATCAAGTAAATAGTGGAAATGTAAAATCAAAAAGTAGATAAATATAAATAAATGCTAATTTATACTTTGAAAAACGGGAGCAATAGCAAAAAAATACTGCAAATTTATTTATTTCGAGTTGTACACGACCGAAAAACAAACAGCAAAATAAATTATATTTTTAACGAAATGGAATTTTTTTTTATTTTGTATATTATATAATTATTATTTATTATTATCTATAATTATTATTATTTATTACTATTGTTGTTATTCGTTTGTTTTGCTACTTTTTATTACATTGTTTTTCTCAAGCAAGTATTATTTTGAGACATTTTTTTAAAATATAGAGGTAAAATTATATAGTTATTATTAATTTTAAATTAATTAATATTAAACAATTATTAGTTATGGAAAAAGAATACGTATAACATTAAAGGTAGTGAAATTTTAACTAATTAAATATTTGACAGTGATTTCTAAAAGTGATAGTAAAAATCAAACTCAAATAAAATGAAATCAAAGAGTTCACATCAATGGAAATTATTCGATATTGCAAACCCAGAATTTTAGTAATTTCTTATAATAACATTTATTTAAGTATTTCAATATTTAGACGGAAATTTTTTTATTTCTCTATTTGTTTATAATCTGCTCTCTAAATTTGAATTAGTGAAAAGTCGTCTAATAATTTTACTAATAAAATAAAAATAAAAATTTTTTACTAATTCGAAATAAAATTTTACTACATTATTTGGTAGTTTAAAATTTTTTTAATTTAATTTAATTTAATTAATTAACTTTTTCAATTTAATTTAATTTAATTTAATTTTTTCCTAAATTATTATTTTTATTTAATAAGAGCATTTTTTTTTTATAAAAAGGGCTCTTTTTTAAAAAAAGGGTTCATTTCCGAAAAGGTTTTATACTAGGCAACAATTTATTATCCATCTCTGACTAATAAATTAATTTTTTCTTGAGAAAAGAAAATTGTTTCAATGCTTAAATTCTTCAAGAAATGTTAATTTTATTCAATAAGGGAATTTTTTTGAAAAATGGCTCATAAAAAGGTGTTTATTACTAGGGAATTGTTTATTATTCATCTCTGAAATGTACAATAATTTTTCCTTAAGAAAAAAAATTGTCTCGATATCTAAATACATTCAAATTTCATATTTTATTCAATAAGAGAATTTTTTTGATAAAAATGACACTAATTCTGAGTAAAATTTCACTAATTCCTAGTAAATTTCCACTAAAACTAAAAAAAAAATATAAATGGAAATTTCCTAAAAATTAGTATAGAAATTATTACTAATTTAATTTAGTGGGCGAATTTCCAGCAAATTCAGATTTAGATACATATTTCGATGTATATTTCTGGCGACTAATAGATTTTCGTTTTTAATTGTTTATGTATATAAATTATTATATGAAAGTTATGGAATAATATTCTAGACCAAAATAGTTGATGGACTGAATAAATAACGGGCTAAATCGTAAATTTTGATTTTACTCACCTTGTACACGGTGACCATTCGCCCCACGGTAGTCCCTGAAACATAAAATAAATTTGTGATTATCTTATCCAAACACACAGATGTATGTATACAAGAGAGCAGTGTAAATGGCAAGCTTTACGAGCTTAAAGCACGAAGTACGTAAAACATAATATAATATTATACATACAGGGTTTTCTATTCAATGGGATCTTCTCTATATTGCACATTAAAATTATGAGATTAAATTAATTGCCATTCCTCTGTCATTTAAGCGTGAACAATTTAATATCCTACAGGAATGTGTTACTCGTCAGTTTCAATATTATTTTATTTTTTTTTTTACTATTTTATTGACTATTTATTTTACTGTTTATTTTTATTCTTTAGTCCATTGCGTAAGGAAAATTTTTTTGTTAAAAAATTATTTGTTCTACTTTTTTTTAAATATTTTATTGACTATTTATTATTATTCTTTCGTCCAATAAAAGGGAAATTTTTTTGTTAAAAAATTATTTGTTTTTTTTACTATTTTATTGACTATTTATTTTTAGTCTTTAGTCCAATGAAAGGGAAATTTTTTTGATAAAAAATTATTTGTTTTATTTTTTTTTTTTTACTATTTTATTCACTATTTTTATTGTTTAGTCCAAAGCAAGGGGGATTTTTTTTGATAAAGAAATATCATTCTAGTACTTTGATAATAGAAAGTTCAAATGAACGAAATTAATTTATTTCTTTTTCAAATTTAGAATTTATTTTTAAAAAATATTAGGTCACGTATGAAAAAATAATTCGTAAATGTTTCAAAGTGTTTAATTTATTTATTTTTTTTATTTTTATTTTGTTGAGTAATTAATTAATTTTTAATTTATTTCGTTAAGTAATTACTCGATTTTTACTTTATTGAGTAATTTTACTTAATGATTTTTGAGAACAAGAAATTTTTTTTTTCTAATTCAAATTTCATTAAAAAATATATTAGATCCCATATTAAAAAATAATTCATACTTCATGATTTTTGAGATAAAAATAAATAACAAAATAAATAATAATCAGTAAGAAAAATAAATTATTGTAAGATATATAATAAAAAATATTAAAAATCCAAAAATAATAAATAAATAATAAAAATATAAAAATAAAGAAAAAATCAAAAGAAATGAAAAGCAATAAAATTGAGTAATTACTCAGTGAAACAGAAATCAGAAACATGAATTAAACAATTGAAAATATTTATAAATTCAATTTTTATACGTGAACAAATTTTTTTTTAATGAAATTTAAATTAGAAAACTAAATAAATAAACTTATTTTTTTTATCAAAAGTGAAAAATCATTAAGAAATTACTCAATGAAATAAAAATTGAGCAATTACTCAAGGAAATAAAATTCAAAAACGTAAATTAAACATTTTGAACATAATTATATTTAAAAAAATATATTTCCTTTAATTGAATGTTCAGAATTTTTTGAATATCAATTTTTGAATTTTAAAATCCAGTTAAGTATTCGAAAAAATTGATATAAATATAATTTGAAATATTTAAAATATTTATAATGTTATGAAACGAAAATAATTTTTTTATTCTTAATTATTAATTAATATCTGGATTATTAATTCTTAATTAATATCTGGATTATTAATTCTTAATTAATATCTTGATTATTAATTTTTAATTAATATCCTAATTTTATAAATTTTTAATTTAAGAATATATTTTCCTTCCTTCATTTTTTTTACACAAAAATAATAGTTAAAAAAATAGGAAAAAAAATGTTGTGGTGTAATATTAAATTTTTTTTTTCGTCTCATCGTGTGGAAGATGAGACTTTATGGATTTTCCTCAAGATTTGAGAATTTTTTTGGACGAAGAATGAAAGAGAAAAAAAAGGGTTTCAATTTTACATTTTCTCACTTCTATACATATAGTGTGGCAGATGGGAATTTTTCTTTTTCGTACTTGGGTGCTAGAAGTTAGGCTATTTCATCGCTTTGAATATTTCATGCGAGCAAGACGCTTCAAGTGGAGACTGTAAAGAACTGAAAGGAAATGGAAAGAGAGTGGATGGTAATAAGAAATAATGCACTATTCGATAATAGCCGAATTGGTTTAAACTTTATTACTGTTTTTTCTCAATCTTTTTCCTCTTTTTTTTATCTTTTTGAAAAATCGAATTCGAATTTTGATACCGCAGTTTCTCTTCTTCTAAATTAATAGATTTTTTTTTTATAAAATCAAAATGTAAATATTAATTTCTATTTATCTTTTTTTATCTTTTAAGTTAATTATAAATAATATAAATTGATGTAATTTTTTTCTTTTCTCTTTTTTCGATATAAAATTGAACTGTGTTTAATTTTTGACATCAGGTTTTATTTTTGAATTTACTTATAAATTTATGTAATTTTTTTTTTGTTTCTATAAAATCGAACACTGCTTTCTATTCACGTTGGTAAAGTTCACAACGTAATCAACGATTTAATAGAGAAAATATTTTTCTATTCAAATTTTTGTCTAAAAAATTTTTTTACTGTTTTTCTTCGTCAACAATTCTAAAAAAAAGAAATTTGTAAACGAAAAATATTTTTTACGTGTAAAACATTTTTTTTCCAACAACGTTGATTACAAACGTTGTGAACTTCACGTTTTTACGAGAGTTTTTTTTCCCCCTCTAAATTAATTATAGATTGAAATGAAATAGAAATAAAAGAACAATTTTTTCGATTTTAGAAAAAATTCAATTATCAATAAAGTTGTAAATAATTACACAGTTTTCCTTAGGGTTTTTAAATTGAGACAAAAAAAAAGTATCAAAACGGTGCTTCGCAACTATTTTTTTATTTTTTTTTTGTCTCAATTTGATATCCTTAGAAAAAGTTAAAATAGTTAATTAATAATAGTCAAGTAATCGGTTATTTGAATCAAGTGAATTTTTTTCAGAGTAAATAAACAAAAATAAATAGTTTAAAATAGAAAAGTACGATTTTACACGAGGCAAAGTTTTTTTTTCAATTACTCGAGATAAGTGTAAGTGACTCCATTGGGATTGGTCATTTTATCAGGCTATTCAAATTTTGATGGTTGATCGACGAATACGAATCACACGTAAGGCTTGACGTTAGTTTTACTTCCCTCGAGAGTGGCGAAAGCTTTTGCTCTATAGAATTGCAAGAGTATATATATGTATATACACTTCTAGAGCACAAACAGCCTTGAGTATAGTGCCCCAGCATTCCCAATTCCCAAGCAATCTAAAATCAATCTTCGTTTCGTCCTTTCTTAGAGTGAGCTTAGAAAAGGGATGGTGGAAAAAAAACCAAAAAAAAAACCAAAAAAACAAAAAAAACAAAAAAATAGAAAAGAGAGAAAGATAGAGAGATAAGATCAGAAAAGGTGAAACTGATCAGTTTTAAGCAGACTTGTGATCCTGCATTATTCAAACTCTGTCTTGGTGGTCGAAAGTGCCGCTTGCTTTCGCCGAAAACTCTTCTACCGTTTTAGTAATTCCCAGTTCGTCACTCCATCTTCTATTCAAACCCCTTTTTACTCTCCCTCATACTGTCTTTACTTGAAAAACTTTTCTTTTTTCTTGCGTGAACTCTTTGTACTAGTCAGATAACTTATTCTCAAGCAAAGAGAGAGAGAGAGAGGGAGAAAGAGGAATTTTGTGTCTCCTGCTCTCTTAGAGAAGGGGAGAGGAGAGGAGAGGTAAAAAGCTTTTTTTTAAAGTGGTTGCTATACAGAGAGTTATACTTAGTAAACTTTACTAACTCGGGAGTTTTTTCCCAAAAAAAAATTCAGCAATTTTTTCCATTCTTTTTGCGTATGAAATAAAAATTCTTGTGAAGAAAAAACAATTATGCCACGGACTCAAAATATGTTTGATAAATGGGTGTTTCAGCAAAAAAATACAGTTCGGCTGACTGAAATCTTCAATTAATTAACTATAATAATTTTAATGTTCTTTCATTCATTTACTTTTTTTTGTCCCTCACACTCTGAAGTTGTCTTCTGTTATTTGTTAACTTTAAATAGATTGTATATTATATTATTATGTTATAATTATTTTTATTTTCTAATTAATTCAAAATCGTAATGACAAATAGAAATTATTAGAATTCTTTTCACTTCTTTTCATTAAAAGACTAAAATTTTGTTAAATATTATGTTTTTTTTTAAATTGAAATTAAGCAGATTTTTGTTCTTCACTTCTAAGGAAAATTAGAAAATTGTTAAAAACTGTGATTGAGAAATAGAGCATTTATATATTTTGCATTATTTTTGTTTATAAATCACAATTTTTAAAACAAAATTATTATTTTGTTTTAGAAAAAAAAGAAAAATATTTGCACAATATTCCTATTTTTAATCTTATTTTTGGAACAGGATTTTTCACAGGAATTAAGACATTCAAAAATTTAAAATTTAAACCTTTTTTTAAATTAAACAACTTATAAAAGTATTGTTATAAAACATGAAGATATCGATTGCTCCGAGTCGAAGACTCGGAGTGATCGATTTCTTCATGTTTTCTGACAATTAAAAATGACCAAGAGATAAAATCATTATTTTATATTATAAGAATATTGTTACTGTAACTTCATCAAAATTATTTTCATCATTTTAATTCAATTATTATTTTCTAGAATTTTAAATTATTTTTTATGAAAATTATTGAATTCTTTAGAAAAATTTTATTATTCATGAAAATAATTGAATTCCTTAGAAAAATTTTATTATTTATGAGAATAATTGAAATCCTGTGAATTTTTTACTATTTATGAAAAAATTATATGTATGCATACAATTTTATTAAAATTTTGTTTAAATAATTGAATTTTTTTTGGGAAATTTTATTAAAATAGTAGATATTGAAAATCATTGAAATTAGAACATTTTTTGAAAATAATTGAAATTAGTGACAAGAATTTTTTTTTTGACATTTATGGAAATAATTTAATTTTGGAGAAGAATTTTGTTATTTATAAAGATTATTGGGATGTTTACGAAAATTTTTTTCGAATTTTGAACATAATTGAATTTTTATAAGA